CGAGTCGGATGAGAGAGCAGACGACTCTTCATTTTTTTTTTATGTAATTAACATAAGAAGGGAAGATTTCACATGACATTATTTTGACAGAAATTTCCATGTCATAAATAAATGTTAGTCCAGTCAGTGTGTATCTATATCTCGTTAAAGTTTTGGATGGAATGACTATTTTTGTGTATTTTTCAAAATTTGGCTATTATTGTCACAAAGTGAATAGTTATGGCTATGCATATGTATTTTGCCTAAAATTTTACACCTACGAGAGTTGAGATTTTAGGAGGCTACGAGCCTAGAACTATGAATAATTGGGCAGCATTTTAGTTTGACGTGCCTAGGGCACGCCTTAATAAGTTTGAGGTAGTTGGTCTTATTGAAGACTATGGAATAGAGGACTCAGTCATACACAAATTTCTATACAAGAAACCTTTCCTTGGGTTTTTCCGTGAGGAACCGTTCAACTATCTCCAAAAGGTTTAAGAGCTATTTGGATCATAACAGGATTTCAAAGCATCTAAATACAGAGTTATAAGGATTTTTCCTATTTCCATCAATAGTGTCATAATACTTTGGATTATTGACATGATTGCTTCAAGTGTGTTATAGCAACCCTATGATTGTTTTTATATGATTTATACGCTTTTGGTAGTGTATTGTGCATTTCCAGGACAAAGCAATCTAGTGGAACACTTAGAAGTCACAGGGGACATTGTGACCAAGTTGTTAGAGTTGAGATTCAAAGATTGGATGTATGGGTGAAACAGCACTAGGAGAACCGTTTTAGTAAGGGAAAAAGGCGGCCACAGTGTAGTTTTGCTGAAGCCGGACCGCTTCATCATGAAGTTATCTTGGAGCATCCTGATTAGTTGGCCACGTGTTTGAAGCGCTCTGATTGGCGGAATGAGAAATCGACAACTCGTATGCTATCGATCATCGAGGGCACATGGTTAAGAGACCTAGGAGGAGCATGGCTATGAAACGCCTTCCTTCTCTAATCTCTCACTCATCAACATAGTTTAGATTTACTTTTCTGTTTCACTTTAGTTTACAAACTCTTACGTTATGCAAATCAGAGGCACCTCAACCTCCACAACTCGTTTTCTTCTTCAATAAAATCATATCTCGCTTCTGAAGTAAGGATTTCGTGAGAGGACCTAGGAAAATACGATCTTGGCCTTAGGGTCAAGTAAATTTGGTTCTATCTACAACGGATCAGTAGTCAGGGAGTAAAATGAAAGAACCCACTTGGGTACTTAGTCCTCAAACAATCCCTAGAGTCTTACATGGGGTGTTATTGGCTAGCATGATCTCTACGTTGGCGTACTCCATCGCGGGTAGTCCCATTTCTTCATATATATGCAATGGTAGTATGTTCACACTTGATCCGAGGTCAACTAGACCTTTTACCATATGATGGTCATCCATGCGACATTGAATGATGATATGTCCATGATCTTTCTTTACTTCATTGACTAGTTAGAATTTTGCAAAATCCCCAAGGGGGTTTCTTGATATGATTTTCCTTCTCTTTGACCCTGTCACCTTCTTCCATAAAGATCTCCAACCTTTCCTTGATATAATGTATTGAAATAATCTTCTCCAATATTGGCACTGCCACTTCTGCTCCTCCAAAAGCTTCTATCAGATTTCTGAAGGGTGTTGGATAATCAACTTCCTTCTTTTCTTCTTCCTTTTTCATGCGTAGGAAGTTCTTGGATGCTCCCATCTTAGTCGAGATAATATATACTTCCTCCTTATTTGGATTGTTTTATGTGTTGCTTGGGAGGTTACTATGAGGCTTTTGAGGTTGGCCATCAATTAGGAGTGCAAGTTCTCTTTCTGTATTTTTGTATCTTGTTTGCAATCCTATCACTGTTGCCTCTACCTTCTCGAATATGGTGGGTTAAGGATTGGAGACACCTTCTCCTTGCCCCTTGTATTGAAGTTTATTTCCAAATCTAGGTGGACTCAATTTCTTTTGGCATTGTGCTTCATGAACATAGGGTGCATTGGTAGAGGTGATACTAGGGTAATCATTGGGATTCTTTCCTCCTTGTGCATATCATTGACCATATGGTATGAGAGGTTGGTTGAACCTTTGATAATGAGAATAACTATCTTGTCCAGGTCTAGATTGGTAGCCTTGATTAATATAATTGACATCATCATGTCCTTCCCTTCTTGGCTATAGTATTTGAATTCTTCGTGACCTTCTTCTCCACATGCTCCACAAACAAATAAAGATGCCACTGGTCTATAATTTGCCTCCATTGAAGTATTTCTTAGTTGTTGAGTAAGGTCTTTCATGTATGCACATAGGGTGGTGACATCATCCTCCCTAGTGTGGCAAAATGCTCACAACATTGCACTCCTGTCATTGTTGGCAAAATGTCCATTGGCTAATTGGTTTACCATCATCGTGGTTTCTCAATTCAGGCCTTTGGCGAACCACTTTGAAATATGCTCACGACATTGCATTCCTGTCATTGTTGTAAAATCTCTATCGGTCGATTAGTTTATCATCATCGTGGTTTCTCAATTAAGGCCTTTGGCAAAGCACTTTGAAATCTGCTCTGGTGTGAATCCATGATGGGGGCATGCTTTGATATACTTCTGGAATCTCCTCAAAGCATCATAAGTCTCCTTTTGTTAAAATTTAGTAATCTCATCTTTAAACTCTTTTTTCCATAATGGGAAGTAATCCTCGATGAAAGTTTGAAAAAAGGTTTCCCACGTGGTGAAGGTCCCTGGTGGATGGTAGTCGAGCCACTGCTTTGCGCCTCCTTCAAGTGAGAATGGAAAAATTTGTAGTCGAATTCCATCTTTGGTAGCTTCATCTCTTGGTACGAAATCGACGATCTCGAAGAATTTCTTCAAGTGTTGTACTGAATCATCATCATTCCTGCCTCCAAACTTTTCTGCTTGTTGCACCATTTGGATGAGTTGAGTTTCGATCTCTATAGTTGTTGGTGGCGCAACAAAGCTTGAGTTGATGTTGTATGCTCTTGGCCTTGAGTACTCATAAAAAGTTGATGGAATGGCCACTATATTTGTCCTTCTCTGACCATTGTTGGTGTTGAATATGTTGAAGATGCTACTTCTTCCCCTGAATTGAAGTTGTCTTCGTCTATAATGCCCTCCTCTTCCAAGGCTAGCTTCTTGAAATTGGTGGGGCCCGAGGGCTCTTCTCCTAAGCCAGATGCTCCTTCGTTCATCTTTAAGATGGGTGAACACGATGTTGCTCCCTCTCGAAATATCTCTTCCACGATCTTTAGGTTGTTTTTCTTTTAGTACTTATTGATTTCATACAAACGCCTACAAAACAAAAAAGACTCAATACTAGACATAAGATGGCCAAATGCTTTTATATATGATTAGAAATCCCTGGCAACTGTGCCAAAAAATGTGTACTATAGCATGCAAGTAATAAAAAGTCCTAGGATATCCTAGGATTGTATTCCTAGAGGTCTTATAATGCCCAACTACTCAAATCAACCATCCATATATACACGAAATCATAGAGATATTGAGGGGGTTTTCATTAGAAAAAAAAAAAAACAAAGCACGAATAGTAAAGATACATTATCATACTAGATTGTGAACTCGAAAATGATAATGTAAACTAGAGCTCATTCATAACATGTATCGATGATTCATCCAATATAATTCCCTATCCCTCCCTCTAAGGTCGCTCTCTACCCGTGAATTCGCCTTTTGCGATAGAGATTTGACTAGCTAATGTGTACTTTCGTTTCATGCCACTACCTAATGAATAAAGAGCAAGGAAATAAGGATATCATATAGTTAAGTGTGGGCGTCTACGAACCACAACCATAGTCTATAGCATCCATGATCTAACAATCAAATATTGATACTACCCAAAACATAGATGGGAGATCAATCCTCCCATACTCGTGTAGCATCAATGGGGTATCCTTAGAAGTTATTTCTTGACAAACTAGGCAATACTAAGCATAATGCATATAGTACAATTCATAAGAATCATAAGCACTGATGGTATAAAAAGCATTCATACTGTAAAAACATCATTGACCATCAAGCATAAAAAACCATAAAACATCAATGATCATCATAGGCATCGAAATCTTCATACACAAACACATGCATGAGATGAAATCATGCCATTCATTCATATAATAATAATAATAATAATAATAATAATAATAATAATAAATTACATCCTAATACAATCAATGTTGACTAGCTACATAGAGGAGAAGGAAGGTACCACCAATGAAGATGACATCATCTCCTTGTCCGCGGATTCCTCTACTTCAACTACACTAGGCACTCATTTAGAGTGTTACATAGATTTGTTTGTTTTTGCAACCTTATGTTACAATGGAGCCATGCCCTCTATTATTATGGGAGAATCCAGTCTAAAACAACCTAAACCTACAAGGAAAGAGTCTCCTAAACCTAGTAGACTTAGGAAACTTCAGAAACAAGGAAAAGGTGAGACGACAACGGTGCTTTGGTTGGGCTCGCAACTCTATTTCTTCGTGATTTGTGCTCTTGATCCATGGACTTCAATCTAGATGAGTTGGGTTACAACTTTGTGTAGCGGCGGTTGAACTCATTACTTGGGCACCACACTTCCTTGCTTCCGAATGGGCTGATTCTTCATCCTATGGGCTCATCTTGACATATTCTAACAACTTCTAGTTGACATCTCTGTCCTTGGACCAATTTTTTCTAGTAAAAGCTCCATAAACTTCTCTTGATAGTTCATTTTTTTGTCTTCCAGAGTTCTCTAATGCTTGATCCAATCTACCTTATGTTGCTTTGTATCTTCAAAACCATCAAAAGTATATACCCAGAAGGAATCAAATAGTACAAGAACATTACCTAGTTCTATTAAAAGCTCATTGATCAAATAGTTGTGATTTTCAGTCAACTTCACGAAACTTGTGGTCGACTTTATGAGGTTTTTGGTATGCTTCAGGGAATTTGATGTAAGCTTTATAAGGTCTGTTTTAGGGAACTTGTAGTCAACTTTATGAGTTTCTGATCTGCTTCATAAAACTTGTGGTATGCTTTATGAGGTTTCTAATATGCTTTAAGAAACTTGTGGTTTGCTTTAAGAGATTCCTAGTATGCTTCAGGAAATTTGTGGTATGCTTTATGAGGTTTCTGGTATACTTTAGGGGACTTGTGATATGGTTTTTGAGGCTTCTGTTCCGGTTTAAGAAACGAGTGGTCAACTTTGAGTTTTCTTATATGTTTTGTGAATTTTTGTGGTGTGGTTAGATTCTGGTATGCTTTATAAGCTTTCTTATATACTTTTTGTTATTTGTGGTGTGGTTTGTTGTGTTCTATGTATGTGTTTTGTGGTATGCTTCATGATAATTGTGGTGAGGGCGGATTAGATTTTTCGAAAAAAATTTAGATGAACAATTTCAACGATATCTTTCAATTTCCTCAGCGCCGAGGAACATTTACTAAGGTGTATGTGTAATTCGTTTAGATCATGAGTTCTGACAAGAGAGATGAAATCATGAAGGGGAATAAATGAGTAGCACCACATGCGTGTTCCAATTATAATTTTAAAAAATTAAAAACATGGTCCTCATTTTATAAATCTGCATTAATTGTGGTCAATCAATTAAAAATAAATAAAAAGTTATCAAAACGAAATGTTCCAATGAGTTAAAGATTTCATTCATTAGATATCAGAGTATAATATCGTGATTGTTACACACGAAACCAAATATCCACCGTCTGGCGTGCCAAATTGTTTCGGGCGATGTTGATTGATTGTTTTGCGTTGGAAACTTTTGCGGTGTCGTTTGATCGGATGCACCACTGACTCCTGAAATCAAGACGGTCATCAAATATCCACCGCCGGACGTGCCAAATTATTTCGGGAGGTGTTGATTTGATCGATGCACCTCTGACTTCTGAAAAACCAAGACGACTGTTACTCGGTTCACACCTCTCCAAACAATGTTTGAACGAGGGTGTTTGGGTTTTTGAAGGAATCTACGTTAGATCTACTCCTATGGAGATACCAGTGGAGAGCTCCTGGACTATGCTACGACTACGACTATGGAGATCCTTCCTGGAAGGAGAGCTCCATGAAGAAATTACAGAGAAAAGGAAAAGTTTGAAAGATGTTGTTCTGTGTTGATTTTTAATTCTCCCCTCTCGCTCCTTGCTCCGATGCTTTTATCAAATTCACTTTCGTAGTCTTCACGCTGTGAAACCGCCTCGCCTTAGTCTTCCACATGCTCCGTCCTTCTTCACGAAGTTGTAGTCTGCAACTGCTTCGCATCCGTTCTCCAATCTTCCTTTCGTAAAAGTCACGTGCACACACATCAACTTTGTACCACGGTTCGAATCACGACATCACCGTCGATTAAACAACATTGTTGTTTCACCCCTCGCCACTGCATACTCGCCGCAAGGTTGTTGATCTCTCGGCATCGTTGACCACTCAACAGCGGCGAAACTCACAGCATCGTTGATCTTGCAACATTGTAGAGCTCGCGTCAACCACACGATGTTGTTGGTCCCACCTCGAGTTGTTGTCCTTCTAATCGAGCTCGAGCCCATGAAGTAAACATCATGGTTTGAAAATCGAGCTCGAGCCCGTGAAGTCAACATCGTGGTTCAAAACACCAACCTCCCGGCCACATGGCCTGGATGCGAAGTCGTCGGATCCCCACACTAGTTTTGACAAAACAACGTTGTTGTTTGCCTCCACAACATCGCTGAATTTATAACATTGCTTAGCTCGCGATGTCATTTAGATTCACATCATTAAATCTCACGATGCCCCTGTTCTTGTGGTATCGTTGAGTTATGCGATTTTGAATTCGTGCCATTGTCGAACTCGCAACGCCGTGAGTTATTCACGACATTGCTTATCTCCACGATGTTACTTGTGACGTTGTTACACTCGCCGCATTGCTAGCCATCACAAAGTTGTTCAACTGACATTGCGACACCACACTAATGTGGTTTTAAGATGAAATTATTTTTAGGTGTAAACAGTGACTTAAACCGGATAGCTAAACTCTTTAGGCATGAGGTAAAGATAACTGGATATTAACCAACATCATGATCCCATCATCATTCTAACATTAGTTACCACTAAATGGTGATTCACTATCATCGAAACTTAGGGTTGGTAAGTTTGAGATTGTCAATCCGAGGGTAAAAAGCCATGCTTAACTCTCACTCGTGCAATGAAATAATCATTATTAGGAGGGATCTTTTGAAAAATAAAGGACAAAAGTTTTTAGGAGCCATGATCAGTTCATCTGCTTAATAATTAATGCATAAAGGGTTGAAAGAGAATCTTGATTAAAGGAGGAAAGCTTTCAATTCCCCTTTGACTGATTACCAATCACACCTATAAACTCTCGGTTTCATGAGGGACAATCAAACAACAGTAACATAATAATGAAAGTGAACTCTCAGCCAATAGCAGGATTGTCGGCAGGGATTAAGAGCATAAACCTGGCTCTAATTAAACAACAAGATGTGGATTAAGGAAGATCACAAAGGCACGTGTTAGGTGTTGGAACTCTAATCGTTTTGAAAATGATCATTCATAAAATTTTGGAATAAATCTCGTTTAAGTTTTTAGGACTCAAATTACAGGTGATTTTGATAGACCTAATATGTACTAGGGGATGAGTTAGGGTGGTTATTTAATTTTAAGTAATCATGGTGGCTACTAACATCTATACCCTTCATTATCTTTATTTCATCTTATTATTAAATTGACGGTGAAGATTAGATTAAGGGTAAATTTGAAAACGAAAAATATACCACACCAGATTTCTATCCTTTAAATAATTAATTTCTATATATTATAACCAAACCCTAATCCCTCACTCTCCTCAACGAGACATGCCCGCCCGCCCGCCCCTACCCGGCGACGGCGAACCCATCGACGAATCACCAGGGGGAGATGGTATTGATATTTTTCAAAGTGGTAGTTTTTATCTAATGGATTGGTACTGATTTCGTTTTTTTTTTTTTTTTTTTGCAGAAAGATTGAGAAAAATATGGAAAGGAAATCTGGCTGGAGATTACGGAAGTGAGAGAAAGAGAGAATTTTAATTAATAGATTTTTGTAACTACCTTAAATGTAATTTATTAAAAAATTAATTAATATAATTTATTTTTCCATACCCAATTTACCCTTAGTAACCACGGTGATTACTACAAAGTAGTAACCACGGTGATTACTACAAAGTAGTAATCACCGTAACCTGTCCCTATGTACTAGCTTTTTACCCGGCCCGTTGGCCGGATAATTTCATTTTATCGTTGACATTAATTCAATTTATCTATATGTTTAAACTATTTTAGACCTTCTAAATTTATTATATTTTGTATTGATAAGTGAGTATGTGGTGTGTCTATATATTGAAAATTCTCAATACTTGGCACATTCACTTATAATGTTTGAATTCTCTAATCATAAACCATGTCACAAAGGTAGACCACGTCCCATGTACAATTTTTTCTATCTTATATGAATCCACATTGTTCAAATGAGGACATCTTAGTTAGAGTTTCTTTGTACATATACTTCATTATTGGATAGATTTCTTCATCCCAATTAAAAGTTGACACTTTGGATGTTCATGGAGTTTACTGTAAGATCTTATTTGTATTTAGTTTCTTATACAATATGTATCAATTGCTAATTTTCTGAAATTTAATTTGGACTAACTGAGACTCATTGTCGTTGTTTATATATTATTTTAGAATCTCAATCCAAGATACTCACATACGGATTTTGATCTTAATATGGTGTGTTAGTGTATAATTTTACAACTTGTAGAACCTTCGTTTTCTAAAATTCATTTATGTTTGGTATTTGTTTAGAAATAAAAATTTCATTACTTATACTGATATATGCATTTTTCTGTATGGCCACATTTATTGTCAATATATAGCATATATATTAAAAAGAGTTTAATTATTTTTAAGTGTAATTAATACTTGTTTTTTACCGGGATTTGTAAAATGTTAAGAAAATAAGGGGAAATATGAACAATTGTAAAAGAAAATTGTAAAAACGTTAACTCCCAGTTAGCATTTTTGTTAGTAATATTGACTCAACAACATGATGATGAGTTGGAAGAGACACGTGACGGTCTATAATCCAATTTAGTATTTAAATTAGAAAAGAGTTACAAAATTATTAATGATAATAAAAAAAAGGTTAATATTTTGATGTGATACAAAATATTTGGCTAATCATTTGTAGTTCGAAAGGTTTGGCTAATAATTTAAAAAAACTGAAAGGTTTATCTATTTAAATGTTATTTACTCTATATGTATCAATTGCTAAGTTGTCTCCTCCCACATTTTGTCACGACCGCTACTGAAGTTCTATACCAGATCTGTTCTGTCCAATCCTCACCTTTGTCCACCAATTCACGGCCCATATAGTAATATCGCCAGCTGAATTTTAAATTGTCCTCCTGCACCATTTCTCACATCACATGCGCCACCAAATTGTTGACATAGTTAGTTTAGTCTACCGGGGTATCTCCACTCTCTATTGCATTTAATACCCGTTATTTGGTTTGCTATCCTTCACTCAAACTTTCTTCTCCTAACGAAAAATCAAAAGGTAATGGCCTAACACCTACTTAGCATATGACGTAAACTGAAAATTTACTTAATAAGATTTATTCAAATATTTTTGTTTAAACAATCGCGATACATGTCAGCCTCTAAACATTAGTATACTGCTCCTACACATATATACTACAAAAGGTACAAATGAATTATTAAATAAAAACAAAAGAAAACATTAAATGAAGATAGAGATAGCTACATAAATTGAGCATTAACTTACTTTTGTGTTTGTAAAAAAAGTGTCAACCATGATAATTTGTAAATTCTTCAAGTGCTCATGTGGCAACAAACTATTGTTGAATTGTCATAGATAGATAGATAGACAAATAGATAGATTTTAAACCTTTATTTGATTAATGCATAGGTCAGTGGTTGATGAACACATGATGTTTAACATACAGTTTAGCAAAGATTCATCTAACTTTCAGATGTATCATTTTTAATGTATCTCGTGTCTCATCTTAAGATATGAAGTCAAGTTCATAAACAATCATACCGAAGTCATTTTAAAATTTTTGATTTATAATCCTTGAAAAATTAATACTCCAAGTTTGAAAATTAAATTTCTTAACATATGACGTAAAACTTCAGTAGAGTTTGCTCAATTAACACGATCTAGAGCAAAAATGCAAAATATTAGTAATCTGAACTTAGGATACATTGTAAATTATTGCACCTATGATTCATAGGTCTTCACTTAATTAGAATGAATAAGGTTTTTGTTTAAGAAATAGATTTTATTGCTTGGTCAAGTTTCTATTCAAACGTTTCTTGTTTTCTCTCTTTGATTTCCATCTTTATTTTGTCGCGATAAAATGTTATTATGTATGTGTATTTGTATAAATTGTTCATTAAAATGTAACATATTTGTAAATTATTGTAAAAGTGAGTTAAAAATACTTAGTGAGCTTTAATAAGATATGTTTTTGGTTGAGAAAAAAGTTATATGTGTGACTCAAAGACATTAGTCTATTGTTGCGTACAAATGCAAAAGTAAAAACAAAAACATAAAAGAAGTATTGGAAAATAAAAATAAATATTAAAAAAGTTAGAGATAACAAATGTAATATATGTCACTTTTCATACATGATTTATTATTGTGTACATTGATATAATACAAAAAAAAGGATAAAAGAGAAATGAAATATTAAATGAAGAGAGAGATAGCTCCATAAATATATCAATAACTATTTTTCTTTTTTGTAAAAATATTGTCCACCTTGGCAATTTGTGAACTCTCCAAGTGCTTAGGTGGCAAACAATTACTTTTGAATTGTCATAATATTATGTATAGATAGATAGATAGATAGATAGATAGATAGATTTATTAACATATGAGAAATTTTACAATGCAATATAGTATTGGTGCTATAGGTTTTTGCCTTGATGGTACAACTTAAAATTGTACATTTATGTTATGGTACAACTTTAGATTGTACCTATACTTTTTGTACAAATTCTTTTATGGTACAACTTGAACTTGTACATTTATGTGATGGTACAACTTCAAATTGTAAAGTTGTACCATAACATAATGGTACAAATTGCTTTATGGTACAACATAAACTTATACATTTAATGTTATGGTACAACTTTGAGTTGTACATTAAAGCACCAATACTATATAGCATAGTAGAAGTGCTCATTAACATATACGTCCACATGTCCAATATTTTATTGATCGCAAACTGAATTACGGTTCGTACAATTACGTCTACATGTCCAATATTTTATTGATCGCAAACTGAATTACTGTTCGTACAATTTTTTGCTGTGAATCAAATTCTTACTCAAACATATGGCAAAAAACGACTCAATCTAGTACAAAGAACATAAAAGTCAACAGACGCTATGTGGTAATTGGTAAAGCTATACTCTAGACTTAATTGCAAGTTTATCACTGGAATTGCTTAAAATTTCTATATTTGTAATTTGTCACTAAAATTAATATATTTTAGTGTTAATAGCATTTTATACCCATGTACTATTGCAAGTTAACAAACGTACCCCTATGCTATTTTTTTGCACAAACAGGCCCCTCTATTATGAATACATAACCAACGTGCCCTTCTGTCAAATTTTCTGTTAAGTGGCCGTTTAGTGGAACGTAAAATGACTATTTGCCCCTCTTTTTCACTTAATAACTATTTTTTGTTTTACGTCTACGAATTCCATTAGTTTCTCTATTAAACCCAACCACCTCCTCTACTGGTTCTTCTCTGCCGTCGGTACCCAAATTAACATCTAATCTCTAAGCAACCCTCCGCCTCTAATCAACCCTCGACCTCTTCCTTAAAGCTTCCCTAACATAATCCCAACCTTTCTACCCGTTGGAACTGCCATTCCCCTTGATCGTATGGTTCTGTAGCATGAATTTGGTACTCTCAAATTTCCCCGCTCTTCCCTGCATAGTCACGATAGCAAAACTCTGGGTCAAAGCTCGAGAATCCAACAGTGGTGGAGACGTAGAAGTTGTGTGTATATCGTGGTTTGGTTGCCTTTAATTGCGAATTTGTAGAAAATTGATCTATAGCCCCTACTCTTAGCCGCCGCCATCATCCTCCCATTTCCCCTCTGTTTTGAATATCCATCGATTGGTACATAATCCCAGTCAAGTAGAAATACAACAGTGGTGGAGACGTAGAAGTTGTGGTGGAAATTGCTATGGCGGAGCGGGAGGATTTTTTTAGACTCAACTGGGGGAGAGGATATGGTTTCTGGGCACTTTGTGGGTTAAAGTTAACCACTAAATAAATTAATAATAATGAATAAAATACATGCAAACAAAAAATAGCTATTAAGTGAGAAGATGAGGATCAAAATAGTACCATTTCATCTTATTTAACGATTAAATAATAGAAAATTTAACAGAAGGGCACGTTTGTTATGTGTTCATAATAGAAGGGTATGTTTGTGCAAAAAAATAGTACAGGGGTAAGTTCGTTAACTTGCAATAGTACAAGGGTATAAAATGCTATTATATTTTATTCGTAATCACTAAAATTAGTATAACCGTTCAAGTTTGGTCACTGGCCGTTAGTCTCCGTTAACTTTATCTGACGTGGCAGTCAACTCTGAGAGTTAACCGTTAAATAAGTGACGTGGCAATTAAAAAATTAAAAAAATTAATATTTTAAAAGTGCCACCTCGTTATCATAATAAAATAAAAAATACATAAAACAAAAAATCATTATAATTCAACCTGATTTTTTCCTTCTCGCTGTGAAGTGGAACTCGGCGGCAATTAGTTCAAGGAGAAGGGAAGAGCTCTGGATCATTAAAGCTCGCATTGTTCACTGCTACTGCAGTCACTCTAGTCCTCTCTCTAGCCTGGCTTCTATTTGTGAGCTACGTGAACTTCAAGCACGAATTGTCCGATTCAGAGCTCGGCCTATAGAGGGATAAGAAGAAGGAAGAAGAAGCAGAGCCAAAATGGAACGTCTCGTCGTTTCACCAAGTCGAGATCCAGGCATATGAGATAAGCCATTTGGAAGAAGAAAATGTGATTGGCTCTGGAGGTGCAGGGAAAGTCTATCGCTTGGAATTGAATAAGAAGGGAATCACAATTGTCGTGAAGAAGCTATGGAAGAAAATGTGATTGGCTCGAGCTAGCTTGTTAAATAACGAGTCCAGTGTCGAACGAGTTTTTTTGCGATACGAACGCCGAGTTGCTCGCGAGTAGCTTGGCTCATTTGCAGCCCAATGTAGAATACATGTATACTTAGAATACAACGTTTAGAATCAGAGGTTCCAAACGAGGCTTTACGGGTCGTTTGCTTCATGGATTAAAGAAATGAAGGTTTTGGTAAAACTTGGGTTTTGTAAAACCATGGATATTTGAGGGTTTGGGTTCATTATGGGATTCAAAAATACCATTGTTTGTTTCATAGATTTCATGATGGAATTGATTAATTTGATTTGTATGTATGAAGTGAAATTTACCTTTATTGTCCTCATTAGTACGAGAAGAGAAATAAAATATGAGAGATAGTTTGGTTTTAAATGATACTTCAAATTCTTGATCAATTCTCACCTAAAAAATGAAACAAAAATACCCATTTAGTGCAATTTTTTTTTTTTTTGGGTAGGAATTAGTGCGAATTCTGAATTCAAGTTTGAGGGTGCCGGAACCGGCTATAGCAGGGAAAAGACTGGGCTACAACCGACAGGTGGCAGCGAGAAAAGCAAAAAAGAAAGAAACAGATCCTCTCCAATCCAATCCAACACTCCAACGCACATGGTTGGCTCTCAAATACACAGAGAAAGAAAGAGGGAAGGCTGTGGTACGAGATTCAAAACTCTTTTTTATTTTTTTTATTTTTTTACGGGAAGGGCAAATACTGGAATTTTTTCCCGTTGTGGTCTCCACTCTCCTATATATATAAACATTTCTTTTGCTCAGCTTTGCTAGCTAAGCCTTTGCTTTGCTTTTAAAACGGAGCAACCCACCAGAGGAGGTGAAGAAGAGAAGTAGCTCCTACTCATAGATAGCTTACTCTAGCCTCTAGCCCCTTCCTTCCCTCTCTCTCTCTCTCTATAAAATCAGGGCGAGAAAGTTCCAGATCAAGACCCGCAACCGTCAGCTCGAGGTCACCATCGCCCAATTTTCTCCTAGATCCGAAGCTCGCACTGCTTCATCAGGGGGGAAGCTGAGCTGAAAAAAAGCGTGGGGGAGACAAACAAGGTTCGTGGACTCCGCGAAGCAAGAGGAAGGATGGATAGGAGTACCCCGGTGAGGAAGCCCCACACTTCCACTGCAGATCTGCTCACCTGGCCGGAGACTCCGCCTCCCGAATCTCCGTCGCTCGCCTCCGCTCCTCGCTCCGCCGCCAGGTCGCACCAGGTACCTTTATTTCTTCTTCTTCTTCTTTTTTCCCCCCGACTTCATTTAGATGCTCAATTGGACTATCTTTCTTATTGTTGCTGTTGTTAATCCATTTCCGGTAGCCGTCCGATGGAATCAGTAAGGTGGTGTTCGGAGGTCAGGTGACCGATGAAGAATCTGATAGTCTCAACAAACGGTGAGCTCTCTCCTTTTTCCCATTCTCTACAAGATCGTTTTGTTTCTGTTTTGATTTTCAAAATTTTTTAAACGTCTTTTTTTTTTTTAACTGCTTGCACTTCAATTTTTTTTTTGGGTATATTTATAAATGTTTTCCCTTCAATTCATGGGTAATTGTTGTTGAGATTTCCGTTAAAAGTCAGTTGATTAGCAATATAGCCGTTACAACGGATCTCTATGCGGATCGGGCGGAAGATAGCATCAGTTGCGGCGCATTGTATGCCTGCTGTGAACATCACACTGCAAATGTATGTGTGTGATTATGGAGTCTGAAGTATCTCCTTTGCAACTTGTTTGCCTGCTTTTGGTCTATCAATCCTTGGTTCGATGGTCAATTGGTAGTTACTAGTGTGACCACGGGTTAGAAACTTGAGAATTGTTATGGCGATTCTGTTAGGGTTGTATGCTATTTCTTTAATCGTAGATCAATGGGGGGTTTTTTTTTTGGTCGAATTGGGAAATTTTTGTAATCTTTAGGTCGCTCTTCAATTAGTTGACTTGTAAAACAAGCTTGTCCTCAGCATCATTAGCGACTTTTCGATCATTCGTATAGCAATTTCGAGATGATGCGTTCTCTCCCTGTTTGAGTTTGGTTGTTATACTCTGAATAAAAGGCTAGATAAATTTCAGCTACCCATCAAAGGGTTGTAAAAGTGCTGCGTTAATTCTGGGGTTTTAGGAACACTTGTATCTTCTTTTCACTCTCGCCTTTCCTAATTCATAACGTTTCCATGATGGATTTTGCATTTCTGGGGTTTCAGTCCACCATGTTCTGGGTACAAGATGAAAGAAATGACCGGCAGTGGCATTTTCTCTGGTAAGGGAGAACATGAAGATGCTGAGTCCGGAAACACAAACCTTACCCCTAATGTCAGAACGGGGATTAAAATGTATCAGGTCAGTGTGCACGTCATGGGTTACCAAATCGGTGAAGTTGTCGGAGCAAAAAACTTGAGATAACATATACTCTGTTATATGTTTTCGTGGTTCTTTATTTTATAGCAAACTCTTGCTGGAATCAGTCACATTTCTTTTGGAGAGGAAGAGAGCGTCTCTCCTAAAAAACCTGCTACCTTGACTGAGGTGGCCAAGCAGCGGGAGCTAAGTGGTACCTCGGAAAGTGAGGCCGAGACAGAGGCAAGGCTAAAGAAGCAGCTCTCTAATGCTAAGTGCAAAGAGCTGAGTGGAAACGACATTTTCGCACCTCCACCAGAAATTTTGCCGCGCCCTACAACTGTCCGAGCCTTGGCACTCAAGGAAAGCATAGAGCTGGGTGAACCTGCTCTACGAGATGTAAGTCGGTCAATCTCTGTTTAAATTATGAAGGTGATATTGCAACAGAATTATATTATACTAGTTGTTCCTCTCCTGTTCGTTATCATTAACACTGCGAGAGAGCATTATGGGACGCTCCCTAGTGATACTTAACAGACTCATGTGATGCTTGATATGTCAGCAATTGCCTCCCTAATGAGTGACTTTGAGCATCTCCATGCCAGTTATTAGCAGTTGCGAGTAAGTGATGTGACGCCTGCTTGGCATTGCAAGCAGCAATTTGCTAATGTGGATGGACTTGCTACTTAGCTTGATTCCTAATTTAGCAATTCCACTCATCCCACATGACATTAGCTTTCTTCTTCCTAATATTTATAGGTTGTTTGTTTTTTGTTTGATTAAACTGTAAGTCGAGTGACTATAATCCCTTAAAGTTTGTGTGGGTTCTAACTATTGAAATGGTGAAATTACTTCACAATTTTTGAAATTGCCACTTGATTGAAGTACTTGGCTAAGTCTTGCTGATATGGTAGTAACAGTTTTGAAATTGATACTTGATTGATTGTAAGAATGAAGATGGTCATTCTAATGTGAGGCTTTAGACCCAATTCTCAACTCCCCTAGTGAATAGGAGAACAAGTACCTCTCCCTGAAAACACCCAGTCTTTAGAATTGGGGTTTTTTTTTTCTTCTGAAATATGTGTTACCCCAGTGCTTCTCTGTTGTCTTAGCATTGTTTGATAGATTGAAGAGGTCTCTCACTGATTTTATTTATGCATCTGCTGCTTTAGCCTGCTGGAGGGCAGATGTCAGAAGACAACCTGAAGACAGCAAAGAAAATTTACGACAAGAAGTTCTCCGAGCTCTCAGGAAACGACATCTTCAAGGGAGATGTGCCTCCATCGTCGGCAGAGAAGCCCATTAGCAACGCGAAATTGCGAGAGATAAGCGGAAACAACATCTTTGCCGACGGGAAGGCAGAGCATCGGGAGTACTTGGGCGGTGTCCGGAAGCCTCCTGGTGGGGAGAGCAGCATTGCCTTGGTTTAACGTTGGGGGTGCCCCTGCTTTGCTTGCTTGCCTGTGTTTTAGTAGGAAGGAGGGGTTCTAACTGTGTGTTTTTCAACTGGTTTGCTGGGTTCTCTTTCCCCCCTTTGTTTCTATTCCTCCTAGTGGTGATCTGTTGAATATGATGATGTTATTAGTATGATTATTACGATTATTATTTGACTTTTTTTTTTTTTTTTTTCTCTGGTCTTCTGGCGTTTTGTTTTGCCCTTTGTGGGAACATTGTTTATTATGCAGTTAGGTGACTATGTGACTGATGACATATTTGGAGATGAGTCGTCATTGTCCAAACCCTTTTGCGTTGTGATGTAATTTCCTTTTTGAGTAACCTACAGTATTGGGATTTGGGAGGACTCCAAGCTTGATAAGCAGTCGTGAATGTTGATATTTTTCATGGCTCAGGAGTGGTTTTGTTATGCTTTTGACGAAAACGAGTAACTTGATTTCTTAATTAGTAGAGGTTGAAGTTGAGCAGAGATTCACCTAAAGATCGTCGTGGAATATATTTTGGGTCCGTTTGTGATTCAATATACAAACTTTAATTGAACAGAAATAATAAAAAAATCTTCAATTTGAAAACAAAATAGAATTAAATCGTATCCGATTGGTCTAAATAATGATTTATATTTAGTGCCGTATGATGCAATGGGTGAATTCCGGGTAACTTTAGTAGCCTATGAATTTCTTCTATTGTGGACAATTTAAACACGCACGCAAGGTTAGCACTCGTTTGGGAGGAGCGCGAGAGAGGCGAGGGAGTCGAGGAAAAAGAACGTACATGAGATGGCGATAAAGATTATGGATCTTTCTCAATATAACCCTAGAGCTATAGTTTGGTACGAGAGGCAAAAAGATGAGATTGGGGCTTCGTATAAAGTTGCTTCAAATGATGACTCTTATTATGGTCTCAACATGTAATCTTTTAAGTGTATTGCTTTATTTTGAATGTATTGTTTTATCTAGCTTAATTTATGGTTGATATACGCTTCATTTCAATTGTAATTCCTCAATTAGTAATGCAACTATTTTTTTATTTAAGGCATTACAGCAAGGAAAGAATGCATTAATACAACATGGGAATATATTAACACAACATAGGGAATACATCAACAAAACACCTAAAATACATAAAGTAAAAAGACAAATTAATATATCAGGATAAGATAGGAAATACATTAAGAAAACATAGGTAATAAATACATAAAAACAAGTATGGGTTAATATCACTAAAAAACTCCAACTATCCAAAAAATGTCATTTATGTCCTCAAGTATTCAATATGACAATCCTAACACAAACTTGTGTTTCCATTAACTTTGTTAACATTGACTCTTAGTTTTCAACAGTTAACAAGTTGACCACCGATGTGTCTGTTGATTTGGATTACTTTTACATCAATTACAAATACACCTAAAATACATAAAGTAAAAAGACAAATTAATATATCAGGATAAGATAGGAAATACATTAAGAAAACATAGGTAATAAATACATAAAAAAAGTATGGGTTAATACCACTAAAAAACTCCAACTATCCAAAAAATGTCATTTATGTCCTCAAGTATTCAATATGACAATCCTAACACAAACTTGTGTTTCCATTAACTTTGTTAACATTGACTCTTAGTTTTCAACAGTTAACAAGTTGACCACCGATGTGTCTGTTGATTTGGATTACTTTTACATCAATTACAAATAGGGATAATAATACCTCTACAAAAGTCTAACTATCGAAAAATGTCACTTTTGTTCTCAAATATTATTTATTTTGACAAGATTTCTACTCTCCTCCATGTTCTATCCACAAATGCTCCAGAAAATCTTTTATGAAAGCGTGATGTTCCGGACGCTCACAAACCATGTTATGTCTTGCCTAGTACTCCATGAGCGTCAGACTGTTATTTTCGTGGGGATCTCATGTGATATTTGCATTAGTCTCATTTTTAATTTTCTCCACTAGCCCATCCCCACTTTCATACGAGTGATCTTTCACTATCATATTGTGCAAAATAATACAAGTTAATATAACCAAGTGACTGCACGACCCAAAGATGACTCGGCCCTTTAAAAATGTTACATTTTCGTTGTAGTATGGCAAAGACTCTCTCAACATCCTTACGGTAAGCCTCCTGGTACTTTACAAACAACTTCTTTTTATGGTTAATTGAATTGCTAATAGTCTTCACAAATGTAGCACACTCAAGATAAATTCCATTAGCCAAATAACATATTCTATCATACATCTTATCATTTACCATAAATGATCTTCACAATCGATTCTCGTACTTCTTGATTGGATAGTTGGGATACTTCAAAAGTATTGATGTCATTGTTAGATCAATAAGGGAATGCATCAATCAATTAGTTAACTTTGTCATATGATGACGATCAAGAAAATACGGTTGGTGTTTAAAGTATTTCAAGTGATCTTGAGAATAATGATATAATTCCTCAAACAAATAGACAAAGATTTTATGAGGATTAGAGTGAGGGTGAGGATTATGATGTTGATGATTTACATGTTAATGTTGATCCTAACGGTCCTATTTGATTTTCTACTCTTAACTATTAACTAGATTAAGTAATTTCTAATAGGTTTTGGGTTGCTTAAGTTTGTGTTTATCTTATATACAATAACAAATCTATGGATTAGTTGTATTTATTTAGCAAACAAATTTATCTTGAGAATTTTTTAAGTGAAATGATAAATGTTATCCAGGATATGCATTGTTACTACCATTTGGTGTTTTAAGTGTTAATTTTAATATGAACTTTAAAAAATATTACGGTTTTTATAATTTTACCTCACTTTTCGATTTATGTAAAATCACGATTTTGACTGCTTTTGCTAAAACCTCGAGGACAATGGTTGGTTTCTTCCTGTGCCCAATGTATTGGCTTGCCCACCTAGTCACAATTTTTTCCACTCTCAGTGCATGTCATCAATTGAACCAATCATGCCTGGAAAGCCATGCATATTGTGCAGCATAATTAGGGAGCCGGTGAGTATCTTTCACTGTTGATGCATGCAAGTACTGAGCCCCATAAATTAGGGGTGCTAATCAGTTTGATTACGGTTAATCACTAACCGATATGGCGATTAGCAGTTAACCAATAAGAAAAAAACTCATACCGATAACCAAATCAATAAGTTTAACAAGTGTCATTTAACATCATTTTCAATCCACAAACATAAGAATGACCAAGAGTACTAAATATTAAAGATGAATAATCATACAAGTAATTCAAAATAATTAAACCACATGTATACATTATTAACATAAAATAATAATTATAAGAAATAATATCGATACAAAATTCATCATAAATTCATAATTTAAATTCAATTTGCAATGCATAAATAAAATATAATCAAACTTATTCATCCAATTAGCAAGTACTAGATATCAAATATAAGAACCACAAGATCCTAATCATTCACAAATATCAAAGAGAAAAAGATCAATAGGGTATGACATTTGCTCTGACGAATGCAAAGGGGAGTTAGAGAGAGGTGACTTTCAGGTTCTGACTCTTAAACACATGTGAGACTCTTGGTGGAGGGTTGTTTGCAATAGGTGGGGATCAGGATGTTTGGAAGTGAACTTTAGTTGCTTTGAATCTTGGAACTTTTATATTAGCTAAATGTCCAAAACTATGTGGTTATACAAGTAGGCGGTTATCGATTTTCTTATCGGTTAACCACTAACCGATTGATCGGTTAGCGATTAACCAATAAGTAAAATACCACTAACCTAAATCGAATCAATAAAAAATTATCGGTTATTAGTTAACCAATAACCATCCTTATCTGTTCGGTTATCGGTTAAAAGCCATAACTGACTAACCGTTTAGCAGCCCTACCATAAATGTGGGTAATAGCCATGCAAAAATTCCTTAGGCACTCCAATATGGTGTTCTCACCCATCTGACAAGTCTCATCAAAGAGTATGTCGAGCATCCATATGCAGGCATGTGGAAAGCACTAAGAATGAGTCGCAACCTTAACAATCTTTTTCTTGCTTGAAGTAGTTAACATAGTGAAAAACATCATTCATGAACTAGTTAACTAAAGCATAGGGTATCCGATATCGCCTTGTGGAGGCCCTAGAATCGTTGGTTTAAATAATCTTGCATCAAGCGATTGTGACCGTCTTCCTTATTACGCCTCACTGATTTTTGTGATGACGAACTATGACAAGATAACGTTGCTTGATGTTGGTGCCTAAATTGTTTCGTACGTCATTAACATCTCTGGTTCATTGATGTATTCGACCGATCCAAATGTTGAGTCGGTCTGATATTTTTTAAAATATTCATAAAATTATGAAATTGAAAACCGTACCACAATATTAACTTCGATTTAGACCATTCCAAATATCCGTGGGATCCTATTAGATCTAGTGCGGAACAAAATGTTGCACTCTAAAAAAGGAAACTCTTTCCTTAAAATCTGTTGGAGGGGTGAAGAAAATTTCCAGTGTTTTTTAAAGAGAAAAGCGGAGGTGGAATAACATGATTTTCATATTTTACCTTTTGATTTCCCTTGATTTCCTCACTCAAAAAATTGACTCAGTAGTTACAAGACAGAAATACCTACAAAAATTCCTCTTTTTTTAGTTTATTTATTTAATTTTGTATTTAAATATACTAAAACACACCATTCTCAGCCTTGGATTAGAAAATAATGGATCTAAAAGTGAGCAAAAATTAGCAAATTAAAAAATCAAGAAATTAAAATTATTAATTATATTCATAAAAAAATTAAAATTATGTTGGTTTGTTCAAAACATTGAACTACAAGATGAAGAAAATTATATGACTTTTTCACGTAACAGAACTTCCAGTTAAAGTGATCAACACTAATTAAGAAGAATTTAAGGATTCTACTTAATCATTATTCACCTTTTGCTGTCCATTAAGACGAATTTTCCTTCTTGTAAAACCTCATCGTCCTTTTTTGGGAAATTATGCTACAATGGATGAGACTTGTACAATAAACTATTGACAACACTTAGAGTAAGTTAGTACTCAATTGACCATCTACAATTTGAATAGATAAATAGTACAATCAACACTATTTAAGTTAGTGTTCATACATTGTACATTCTCGATTTTACATAATAATAATTTTGATCTTCCGAATTAGCTTGAAATGATCTCCATTTTCAATTGTATAACAATAAATAAGAAAATGTGTAAAATTACACAATAATTATTACTTACATTTTAAAATACTTGAAACTTGATGTGGACAATTTATGAGAAAAAATGCATGAATTAGTTGAGATTGTGTGTTGTATCATCATTATAAACGAATGTTATAATCGAAGTTTAAAATTTGATGATCAGAGTATTGATTTAGACTACGATGAATCAATCGTATATAACTCAAATTAAGGTTGAACTCGAGAGTTGAGATGCTTCTTTTAAATTATGCCTTGAATCTGAATGGAATTTCAATTCATAGATAATTACATCGTTATTTTTCAGGTTTAGTCCCTTTCTCAATGTTGTCTTGACAAGCACATGAGCGTATCACGATTCTTAACAAACAAGTCCAAATACTATGTTGCTTACCCTATCCGAGTCTCCACCTTTAAGATTTTTGTCGCAAAATCATTGTTCAGCAGGCAAACTCATGCTCACTAAGCACATCATCCTTAATTACTCTCATGTCACATATACTCAGAAATCCATCTTTTGCTCCCTAAATTAGTCCCTACTTCGTTGAAACCCTATGTATCATAAACATGAGAGGAGAAGTGAGATATGGTTGTCGCATTGACGAGCAAAACATACATACTACATTCGGTTAACTCAACTTGCAATCGTATTTGGATGAATGTGTTAACCGGGAAAAAAATATAAAGGAATATATATAAAAAAACACTAGGAGACCATAATTTGAAATTGGTGGAAATTGGTTTGGTTTTGTTTTGGCGTTTTGAGATTTTCCTACTTAACTAGAGTGAGGCAAACCCAACCAGCGTTGGTCTGGTTTCATGGGCGCAGGCAGACTGCAGAGCGTGAGCAGCGGGTAGGAATAAAAAAGCCTGCAAACCATAGCAGCAAAAACCCAGTCCTCGTCCCCTTTCCCTTCCTTTCTCTCCCTCCTTCTTCTCCAACATAACCGTCTCCTCCAAACAAACAAACAAAAAAGCTCATTACTCATTCGAAAAAAGCCTTTCCTTTCTCTTCCTTTTTTTCCCCCTGATTCCCCCCCCTACATTCTCACTCTCTTCCTTCCTTCCACCCAAAAATGGCTACCACCACTTCCATCGACGATCCTTTCACCTCCTCCTCCATTGTTGGATCTCGCCTCCTTCCTTTGATCGATCTCTGATGTGGGTTTTGGGTTTTTGAGCAGAAACTGACAAGAAACATTTTTTTTCTTCTTCTTCTTTCTTTTACGTAATTCGAATAGGCAGGGGGATCGGTTTTTGTTTTTTGTTCCTTTTGTCCTTCGTCTGTTGTTGTATCTGTCCCCCGTCTCAGTGTCAGAGTGAGCCTCCCTGAAGAAAAAAAAAAGGAAAAAACGAAATTCTGAAGAACGATACGTTCCTCCATTGTAGACGTGTGTGTGCCTCTGTATTTCTGTGTGTTTGTTGATCGGGAAAGAGAAATAGAGAAAATCCTCTTTCTGGGTTTTACTGTTCTTTTGGTTTTTGTTTTTGGGTCGACGTTTGTAGTGGTGATTGTGTAATCACACAGCAATGATGTTGAAACTGGGCGAGAGAAGAGCTGTGGGAGGAGAGAGGAAGGTTTCCGTCGACAGCTCCACCAGTAGCAGCAGCAGCGGCAGGTTGGCGACGACGATGATGAAAAGAGGCGGTGGCGGCGGTGGCGAGGCAGAGCTCTCGAATCATCATCAACTCCCCTCCGCGACGTCATATTTGAGCCTCCACCATCAGAACCACCAGCGTCATCAGAATCGGAATCAGAGTCAGAATCTTCACCACCACCACCAGAGCAGAGTTCCCCCTTCTCCACTGCGATCCTCACCGGAGTACTCCCCTTCCTCCGCCTCCTTCTCCACCCGTTCCTGCTCTTCCGACGACGGGTCGTCGCCGTATCTGCATCACCACTCCTCCGCCGGGCATTACCTCGACGGCCTCTCTCTGGATCATCATAATAAATTCCCCTGTAACGAATCCCACCCTGAAATCAATGCCAACAAGATGGTGGATGAACTGGGCTTGTCTCAAAAATTCTATAAATTGAACATGAGGGACCAACAGCCTGGACTACCTACCGCTACCAAATTGAAAGGCGGATTCGAGATTGACACCGACCCGAACGGGTTCGGGTCTCGAGATGGGTTTAATCTCGGTGGAAACGCTGGACCCTATAACACGGACAACTATGGGGTACTGTATGGAGGTTTCAACAATGGCGGCGGTTCTAGCTTTGAACCATCGTCCCCTGGCGGAGGAGTCTCTTTCAGTTTCGACGGTACTGGTAACAAGTATGCGTTCGCTGATTTCAATGGCGGGTACCCGAGTGGAGTTTACGATTCCATGGGTTCACTCGTCGCTCGAAATCAGTTCAGTGATCTCATCCAGGGTGGTTATACTGATGGCGATTGGAGTAACCGGGAGATTCCGCTTCCGCCGCCGACCAACCCATCTCCGACGAGGCTCGGCGACGCCATTGCTTGGTCGAAGCAGCATGCCATGAATCCCAATGGTTACTACAGCAGTCTCAGCAGCAAGGTCCCTGAGTTGGTACAGTCCAAGATGGACGCCTGCAGAAAACGTTTGATGTTGACAGAATGGGCGAGAGCCATGGCCAACAATGGCGGTCGTCAACCCTTCACTATGGGTTCGGCGGCAGATGTCGATGCTTTTGGCAGTGACGACCGTGGTTTGATCGTTCAAGGGAAAAGTTTCAATCAATCCAGAAACTACACCAACAAGGCACGTGGTGATTCGAGGAGAAGCAGCAGGAAGAGCTCCATCACAGCTACAGAGAACCTCTGTTCCTTTCATGGGGGAGCTGGGGTATACGAAAATGGTCATCAGAGGCCAAGTGACTACAGCCTGCTTCCACCACTGTCGAGCTTTCCGGGCGGTGATTCACCTTTTTGTCAGGTTCAGGGCCATGTTTACTTGATGGCTAAGGATCAGAATGGCTGCCGTTTTCTGCAGAGGATTTTTGATGAGGGAACTAGTAGGGATGTGGTTATGATTTTCGATGAGATCGTCGACCATGTTGTGGAGCTGTCACTGAATCAGTTTGGCAATTATGTGATTCAGAAGATGTTGGATGTTTGTGATGAAGAGCAGAGGTTGCAGATTGTGTTTGTGCTGACCAAAGAACCAGGGCAGCTTGTTAAGATTAGCTTGAACACTTACGGGTAATCTTAGCAAAAACCTTTCCACTCCCATGTGTTCATACTTACCGAAATAGTTTATTACAATAGTTATGATTTCTCATATTGCTGTTGCCATTCTGCGAAAACCAGGACGCGTGTTGTACAAAAGCTAGTTGAGACTCTCAACACAAGGCATCAAATTTCATTGGTGGTGTTGGCCTTGAAATCTGGTCTACGTGATGTAGTTGAGGATCAGAACGGGAATCATGTTGTGCAGAGTTGTTTGAAGTACCTAAGCAATGACGATAACAAGGTACATTTTCCCACAGTTCTTAATCCATCTTTGCATGAAGCTTAAGCAGATTGGTATGTTCAGTTTGGCTAGCATTCTTAAAAGAGGGAACTTTTATTCTATCGATAGGTCTATTCTGTTTAAGATAGGATGATCATTAAATGTTGGCTAGGAAAGCCAGATATATGTTAGAGACCTTGACTTGGGTGGTACAATGTTTACATGCTTACCTGAAGTCACACATGTCAATTCTCATTGATGAGTTTCACACATAATAACTGCAGCTTAAGTTTGCTGGATTAATGGCACAATGACACAAGAGTTACTCTTCTCTGCATTCAATGTTCAGCAAGTTCAAACCTTTCCATGCTTCTTTTCTTGTTACAGAAGTTATGTCATTGTTTGTTATCCCTCTCTCAATTTGATGTATTCAGCGATGTTTGTTCCTTTTCGGTATGTCTAGCACGCTAAGATTCGGTATTACACTGGATGTATGGAGATTTCTGAACGTGTCTGTTGCAATTTCTGCAGTTCATCTTCGATGCTGCTTCCAAGTTCTGTGTTGAGATTGGAACCCACCAGCATGGTTGCTGTGTGATGCAAAAATGCATTGATCACTTCAAGGGGAAATATCTGGATAAGTTGGTCAGTGAGATCTCGAAGCATGCTCTTCTCCTCTCTCAAGATCCATTTGGGTAATTCTCAAAACACTTTTCAAGTTTGTTTTGATATGGTGATGTTTCTTTTTTGACCATCCTCCCAATCTTCTAAGTTAGTAAATAAAGCTTCATGCAAGTCAGAACTGATGCACTGATCTGTATTAAGAGGAGTATGCTGAAATCATAGGAAACGAATGCCAGTTTCAGCTATGGTCGAAATTCTATCTTCTTTCATTGTTGTTGAAATGTCTTCTTTCTTATTCATTTAGCAATATCTTCAGTTTTTCTGGCCCATAACTGTGTAATCATACACGAGGCAGACGATGTTTCGCCCCTGATCCTGTCTGGACTTTCTATGCGTTGTGCAGAAACTATGTGGTTCAACATGTGATAGAGCAAGAGAAGCCAACGATCACGGCGAAACTGCTGCCCCAGTTCGAAGGCCACTTTGTGCAACTCTCGATGCAGAAATGCAGCAGCAATGTGGTGGAAAGGTGCCTCAAGCACTCGGAAGAAAGCAGGCCGAAGATCATCCACGAGCTGCTCTCTGTGTCTCACTTTGATCAGCTGCTGCAAGATCCATTTGCCAACTATGTCATTCAAACCGCTCTCATCTTCACCAAGGTCTGTCTGCAAAAAAAAAAAAAAAAAAAAAAAAAAACACTTGAAACATATGTTACTCTTGATGCACAGTTAATCACTTGTGTGTTATCATATTTTCTTTTGCTGCTAATTCAACCTCCAGGGCCCCCTCCATTCTCTGCTGGTGGATGCAATTCGACCGCATTCAAGGCTGCGCACGAGCCCGTATTGCAAGAGGATCTTCACCAGAAACATGCTGAAGAAATGATTGCTCGACGCCGCCGCAGGGGTTCTGCAAAAGCCTTTTCCTTTTTTGCTCTTCTACTAATAAAATGCTACTGTTTGTTCTATCTTAATTCTACGTTAAGCTACTGCTATATTACTACTGCCTGGTGTAGAATCAATGTCTGTACGAAGTCGCGGCTGCTGGTGGCCGCGAAGTTAGCTTACATCCCCATCCTGGAAGTTCCAGAAATGGCTGGCCTCTCTAGTGTAAGCCAAAGTTTTGATTTAGGGTTCCATTTTGTGCTGTGACGCCATGGATTGGTGTACTGTTCTGGTTTTGTTGTTCTGTTGTTGTTCATCTAAAACTCTCATCAGCCAATGTATTTGTTTTGGTATTAATTTAGCACCAGCTTTTGCCGTCTTTCATCTTCAAAAACAGAGAGTAAACAACAGAAAATGGTTCATTCTTATTTCAAGATCTATAGCAGCAGCAGCCATGGCTGAACCAAGAACTCACAACAGCAGCAGGGAATCAACAAACACAAACGCAGCAGGAAACCAAACAGAAATAGATAGAACAACACACACAGAGGCCATGGTGTTTTCCCCCTTTCTACTCATCCTGCTCGCCAAGAAGAGCGAGGAGCATGTTCTCGTAGTCGCCGCCGGTATCCTTGGCAATGGCTTTCGCCAGAGGGACGCTGTGCCTCCGCTGGTACTCTTCCTTGATGACCTTCAGATCCACCTCCGCCCTGGTCGCCACAACCCTAGTCAGCGCGCCTTCGTCCGTCCCCGTCTTCGCGATCGCGCCGTGGATCACCTCGACGAAGTACTCCTCGGGGCGAGTCAGGCACTTGATCGTCGATCTCAGCAGCCAGAGGAACTTATCCTCGCCGCCGTCGTCCGATTCGAGCGCCTTCCCGATCTCGTGGCCGAATTGCGCCTTGTACTCGTTCAGCGCGGCGTTGACCTGCGATTTGCTCCTTGTGGAGAGGATCCGCACCACCTCGTCGTCGGCGAACTGCTTGCCCTCGAACTTCTCGTGGAGGATCTTGGCCTCCTGCTTGGCGAGGGTCATGTTGACCGCGTCGCCGCCGTCGTAGCGGTGGCAGGCGATGAGGGAGAAGAGGAGCTTGCGGAAGTCGCCGGTGGTGCGGTGGGCGACGTCCTCCTCGATCGACTTCTTGAATCGGTCGTGGTAGGCGGCCTTGGCGTCGAGGAGCTGGGCGGAGGATCTGGTGCAGGCGAGCTCCATGATGACCTGGTTGCTGGAGGTCCACTTCTTGGTGGCCTCGTGGGCCAGAACGGCGTCGCGCTCCCCCGGGGTGAGGGTCCAGAGGAGGACGGCGCGCTGGAAGTCGCTGGAGAGCTCGTCGTCGAGATCCTTGAGCAGATCCTCGCCGTAGGTGGAGCTGTAGACTTCTCTGATCAGCTTCCGCTGGGCTGCGTTCCGGTGCGGCAGGATCGAGATGATCAGCGCCTCGTTCGTCCCCCATCCTGATCGTTAATACACAGCAGAACCACAAAAAATTAAGATCAACGGACGAGATGATCTGCCGGAGATTGTTGAGATCTACCACCGACAATAATTGAGATTGAAATTAACGTTGACGGTCTAGACGATCGGATCTGATCGCCGGAAGTTCGTGCAGCAGGATCAGATCCAATCGGAGAGAGGAAAGGAAAACGGAGAGGGACGGGGTAGAAGGGGGAAACCTGAGAATGCCTTGCGGAGCTGCTCGGCGTCTTCAGCGGCGTCGGGAGCCTGGTGAGGAACAGTGAGAGTAGCCATATCGCTGCGAAAATTTGTTTATCTAAACCGTCGTCGTCGTCGTCGATCTCTCTAGAATGGGTCTCGTTTGTTTCTTTGCAATCTCTCGCTAACGTTCTCACAGCTCTATTTAAGAATGGGCGGTGGCCATTGGCAGGGTGCTACGTAGCCGCATTGCCGATTCGCAATAAGAATAATTATTATATAATAAATTAATAATATATATATATATATAATAATAATAAAAGATAAGACACGCTGGTCAGTGTAACGCATATGCTGCATATTCTTTGCACTAGGGGTGGAAAACGGTGCCATCCGGTCTAGACCAAACCATAGATACGGTCTGTGGTCCAGACCGAGAGGTTGGAGACTATGGACCAGACCATATACTATACGGTCCAGACCAGACCACATATGTGCGGTGCGGTCCGATATGGTCTGGACCAGACAGACCATGTTAAAAAAAATTAACTCTTGTTCGCCCTCCAACCCTTCGCCGGTATCTATAAAAAAAATCTAGTGACCAATATGATAGTGAAACAAAAAAATTGTGATAGTATTAAATGAGAAGAAATATGAGGATACAAGTGGGTTTTTTCAATTTTCAAATAACCTTATTTTCTTATTCCTCTTTGTGCTACCGCTTCTCTCCTCTTTCGAGTGATCAGAAGGTTCTCCCAGTTGATAACTTTTTTGATGACGTCGAGGTAATTTCGAACCACTAAGATGGTCGCATATCTCTCAATAATTTTCCTTATCTCATCAAGGTGAACGAAATTTTTTTTGTAGTGTTTAATTTTTATCGACTCCATAGTCTAGACATTATCTATGAATATTATTTATGATTCTTTCTAATTTTTGTGTGGTACTTTGATAAGGAGATAACATATAAGCGATCATTTTGCAATTTGTTGGCTGTCAACTAGATGAAGAATCAACTAACTTTGTTCTTCAAATACACATATGGAGGTTCAATTTAAGTGTTATTTTTGTCCAAGGTAGTAGGTAGTGTGTCGCGGTCTGTTACGGTTTACTGTGGTAGACCACGGTCCAGACCACTTCAAACCACGCACTAAAGGAGGAGACTGCAAACCAGACCAGACCATAGATCTGGTCTCACGGTCCAGACCAAACCATACGATACGGTCTAGACCGCGGTTCCCCATACGGTTTGGTCTGGATTCCCAGCCCTACTTTGCACCCTGATTAGTGATTATGTAGTGCATCAGTACATACTAATCTACAAAATTATATTTATTTTTTATATATTTTGATAATAAAAAAAAAAGATTATAGCACTCGGTTGTTACCACCCAGTTATGTACTTGCTCTGTTTTTCAATTCAAATTTTCAAACAAGAAGAAACGAGTTCATCGTGAACTATTGCGATATAAAATTTTCTAGAGAAAGAAAATTAGAACTAAATATATGTATAGGCAAAGTCGTAGCCAGTAATTCAGATAAGGTAGGTCCTACATTAAAATAAAAAAAAATTATTAATATTTTACAATGATATGTGGCGTGTTTTCACATTACGAAGAAATATCTAAAATACATTGATCATCTAAACTATCAAGAATGTCACTTTCAATCTACCCTACCAAAAAATCATTCATGATTTCACCCGTCAAATTGCGCTATTCATGACGTTTATTGCAGAAAATGCTCACTCAACACTTGCAGTGGTAATAGGTAGTGTTGAAGCCCGGATACTTCCCTCTTCCAAGCGCACCCTAACCGCCGCACCACAGGCGCTCAGACCCTGCAAAACTAACGCCTAGAGGGCCGGAGCCACTCGTTAGCACTCCAACGATCAAGTCAGTGCTAGTTCTAGAGAGATAAGTGAAGAAGTGGAATTTAGTGAGAGAAAACCGACCTCCTTAAATGCCACCTACCGAGTGCTATTTATACTACTCGAGCTCCTCGACCAGGCTCCGACCAACTCCTGCCACCAAGCCTTACGTCAGCTAAGGCATTTAATGCTTGGTCTGGTCCAACGTCCGAGCGCCTCCATGTGGCGCATCATCAGGCTCGGGTGTCAGGGCGCATGGGGGGACCATCCGCCTACGTGGTGTTATTCTGATCCTCCTCAGCCGTACTTCTTTGTCCACGAGCCTATTTTGTCGCCATGCGCCCCTTTACCGTTGGTGCCCCCAAGTCATGTCTCAATGGGCCATTAATGGGCTCAAAGCCCATCAGGCTTTGGGCTTATATGGGCTCATCTATGTTACCCCAACAATTGCCCCCCAGTTAGGTGCTCATAAGTGAGCGCCTAACTATGAAAGAATTGATTTGGTGCATGGGCTCCGTTAAGGTAGCCGTTCACCATTCTTCTTTATCAGAGTTTTAAGCAGGCGCCCGGCGCCACCTTGCCCCCCGCCATGCGTCCATTGGCCTCTATCCATGCTTGTGAGCATTTACCCGCTCTTATGAAAACAAGGAGAAATATACGCCCATTTGCGATCCCTCGCCTTACTGAATTCAGTCAGGCGCCTGTATTCATTTTATATTTAGCCTTCGCGCTTCCGACGGTTTCAACGCACCTGTTGTGGCATATGCGCCCGCTTCACACCCCTCGTGTTTCGCCCTATGACCCGTTGATTCCCTTCGGGTAAGGTAAAACAATTGGAATGAGACGCTTGGCCGCTCTTCCTTATCAAAGATTTTAGCAGGCGCCCAGCGCCACCTTGCCCCCCACACCATGCGTCCGCTGGCCTCTATCCATGCTTGTGAATATATACCCGATCTTATGAGAGCAAGGAAAGATAGACGCTCTTTTGCGACCTCTCGCCTTATTGGATTCAGTCAGGCGCCTGCAGTCATTTCACACTTAGCCTTTGCGCCTTCGACGGTTTTAACGCACCTGCCGTGGCATGTGCGCCCATTTCACCCCCTACGTGTTCCACCCTATGACCCGTTGATTTCATTCGAGTAAAGATAAAACAACCGGAAGGAGGCGCGTGACCGTACCCCTCGCCCCCCACTCGACGTTCGTTTAAATTTCGAATTTTGAACGAAGGGCGAGGATCTCGAGGTGACTCTCCATCTCCCTTCTCCTATAAATACACATCCTCTCCCCTCACCATTTCATTCGCCCTAAACTCCTTTCTCTCTCTAGCTTCTCTCTCTAACCGATCCCCCCCCCCTCTCTCGCCTGCGCGCCCTAGGTTTCGCTCTCCCGTGCGCCTGCTTGTGTCTTGCAATTATGTCTCAATCCGACTCTGGCGTGACCCATACCTCCATCGAGAAGGGCGGAAGCACGGCGCCTAGCGTACTCGATGTGCTCGAGAAGCACCTTTCCCCTGACCCGTTGCGAAATCAAGACCAACGGGGGCCTCGATCTCACAAGGAGGCGCCTAAGCAAACAAAATCTGCCCCTTCCTCTTCTGCGCCCACCAGCGCGGAGGCGCCTTTAGTGGCGGCGGCCTCCACAGCACCCACAACTACCACTCCAGCGCCCTCCACGACCAACCAGGGTAAGCTACCTTTTTCTCCCGCTCTTTGAATTTTCAATGTATGTTGATTCTCTGCTAGGGGCCCACAAGAGGTCTTAGGTCCTCCGTATTGACCAAGGGCGCTTCGATCACTTATAGGCTCCGCGCCTACCTCCTTGAAGTCAAGTGATTTGGCTGTTTCTCCGGCATCCACCGATTCGGGCGCCCCTGAAGATGGGTCGTTCAAGATAGTGGATTGGGAAGATACATGGCCGCAAGGGGAGGCGCCCGACAGTACAAGTAAACTGTCAGTTCGGCGTGCCGGGCCGAAACACTCGTCCACCATCAAGTTCGCGGAAATGCATCGATTGATTACCTCTTGCAACCTCCCTCGCACATGGTCCTATGCGCATGCGTCTCCCATTGCCAGGATAGGAGCAATTGGCCCGCGGTGGCTCGGTATATATAGGGAGTACTTTAAATTCGAGCTGCGCTTCCCCCTTGATTCGATTTTGGAAGGGATCCTCACCACATGCGCCTGTTCTCTCGGGCGCCTATCGCCGTCGTTCTTTCTGATTCATATCCTATTCAAGCTAAAGTGTCGGCAGAACAACATCACACCGACGTTTAAGCTTTTTCGGTACTTCTTCACTATGACCAGCAGTGACAACTGCTTGTCCCTTCAGAGGCGCCTGGATATCCCGGGACACTTTGTAGAAGATTGCCCAAAGTTGGGGCGCAAGTGGTATAGGGGCTATTTTTTCATTAAGCCGCGAGCGGAGTCGTTTTATGAGAGTGGTGAACGCTTCATCCGGGCTTGGAAAATTGGTAATACCACACACTTCAATGTTGACGTGGAATTATCCACCACGGAAAAAGAGCACGCGCGCCTAATATCTGAGCACCCCGTGAATTTTAGTTCAACAGCCGCTAGAACTCCTGTCTTACATGAGTACTATGCTGACGGTAGGTAGGCGCTTAGTAGCGCTTTTATGTTGTTACAAATTTGGATGCGCCCATATTTTTCTTCCACATGCATAACAGTCATCATGTCTTTACTTAACCATGTTTACCCCATTGCAGGTGTGGACTTCACCACCATCGCCTCATTAATGAAGACCCAACTTGAGGGTCTGGGTCTGGACTACCAAGCGCCCAAGGTCAGTGGTAAGCGCCCTCGTGCCCACGGCGAGGTTCTTCGAAGAAAGGGAAGAAAAAATCCTCATCCTCCGGGGCTAAGGGTGATGCGCCTGTCGCAGCACCCACGGGAAAGGGGCGCATCAAACATCAAAAGGCAGCAAGCGCCCCTCTAGTGGAGGAAGAGATTGTGCCTACCTTCGTGCAACCCAACGAGGAGGCGCTTGCTGTCGACATTCCTTCTGATCCCGAGCTGGATGTCGATGATCTCCCACTTGCGCAAAAGCTGAAACGAAAGCAGGCTGAGGATGATACCCAAGCGCATAGCAAGAAGCAACGCACAAGCGCAGAGAAGCGAGTCCCGGAGTTCGTCGAGAAATGGCTACAACCCCCCAAGCACAGAGTCAACATTGCCTGCTCCGACAGATCTGCTTTGGAGAGAGCCTCTGCGCTTGGCTTTGCCTTTCACGCGACCGAGGTATTGAGGGCGCCCAGCGAAGTTCAAGGTGCGAACTTATAGGGAGAGGTAGCGCGCATGGCTGCCCAGGTATGCGCTCATCTTGTCTTTTCCATCACTTTGCCTATGCGTAACTATCGTTTATTTGCAAATTTTGATTGATCCCTCCTTGTAGATGCTCCTACTCGCCAAGAATGGCGCACTGGCTGGAGAGGCGCTGCGCGTCGGGGAGAATGAGGCCTGCAACTCCCTTAGTGTGATGAGGGATGATTTGGAGACCGCGCAGAGGCGCCAAGCGGAGTTGGTGCAGGCGTGCGAGACTGCCAATCTCGAGGCTGCCAAAGCTGTCTCCCTCGTTCAACAGTCTATTGACGAGGAAAAGCAGATACTGAAAGCAGAGCATGAGGCCCATCTTGAGAATGTCAAAAGGGCGCATCACGAGGAGATGGCCAAGTTGGTGAAGGAAAGGGATGATCTAGACAAGGAGGCGGGCGCCCAAAGGAGTGAAATTGACCTCCTTACCGAAGAGAAGAAGGCGCTTCAGAAGGAGAAGAAGATTCTGGCAAAGGAGAATAGGAGGCGCCAAGAGGAGTTGGAGGCGCTCAAGGCAGAGAAGGCTGCATCAGGGGCGCCTACATCAGACTTGGCGCTAAAGGCTCAAGCATCCCTCAACAGTATTCTATACTGAAAAGAAAGCTCGAGGTTGATCATCCCACTATCAATTGGGATGTCAAGGAGATGGCCAACTTCGTGATTGACTTCATGTCCAGCGGGCGCCCCATCGTCGACGCCCCTCCTGCGCCCCCCGAAGATCAAGCGGATGAAGAAGGTTCGGATTCGGGCTCGGAGTCCAGTGACGACTCAACAGGGGAAGAATAGGCGCCTACTATTTTAAATTTCCTTACTCTGTAGAACTCTTGGGAGTCTATTGTTTTGTGCGATGTGTGACATGAACTTATAACTGTCTTTATTTCGTTTCTTACATAATATAGGCGCCTACTACTTTGGCGTCCTTTTGTCGACGTTTGACTTCCGCGCTTTAAATCATTTTCGCCAAGTCTTGGTATGATTATTTGGTACACCATAGTGAGGGTGTCTTACATTCATGCCTTACTAAGGGCACGAGCATTTGGTGCGAGGGCGCTTTATGGGTGTCGGGCGCATTAAGGGCACAATAAATTGGTGCTATAGACAAGGTAAAGAAGTACCTATGTACGTATATATTCCGATTTCAAAAAACAATCTTGGGGCGCTATTTCCGGGCGCTTTAAGTATCCCGGGCGCTGAAGGGCGCATTACATAAATATTTCCGGGCGCTGACGGGCGCTTTACATAAATATATATCCGGGCGCTTTAAGTATCCCGGGCGCATTCAAATATCCCGGGCGCATTTAAGCGCTTTGCTCTACTCCTACCAAAAAACACCCCAAGGTTTGGCACTTCCCCTCGTAATTACTACTTGCTAGGCGCCCCTTCGGGCACCTTACCCTCTTCTCCTGTCACACTTGCCTCCCCGAATTCATATCTTCGCAGGTTTTGTGCGTTCCAAGTTCTCTTGACCTTCTTTCCCGACAAGTGCTCCAGCTTAAACGTGCCCGGCCCGACTACCTCTTGCACGCGATATGGCCCCTTCCACTTTGGTGCCAACTTACCATCAGTGGCTTTTGGGCGAAAGTCGCGCTTCAGCACCAAGCTCCCAGCCACAATGTCATGCGGGCGCATCTTCTTGTTATAATATCGGGCTACTTGCGACTTCATTGCTTCCAGGCGCAGAGCCGCCCTTTCGCGACGCTCATCGAGGAGGTCCAACTCATTGATCCTCTCCTGTTCCTCCATTGCCTCCCCCTTATGCGTCATTCGAAAGGTCGGAATGAAAACCTCCACTGGTAACACCGCTTCACTGCCATACGTCAGTGCAAAGGGCGTCTCCCCAGTTGCAACTTTGAAGGTGGTCCTGTGCGCCCACAAGACGCTTGGAAGCTCCTCCACCCAGTTCCCCTTAGCTTCTTCGAGCCTGGTATGCAACCCATGCAATATACTTTTGTTGGCCGCTTCCGCTTGCCCGTTTGCTTGCGGATAAGCTACAGAAGAGAATCTCAGGACCACTCCATTTTCGTCGCAGAAGTCGATAAATTTCTTGCAATCAAACTGCTTGCCATGATCGGTGATGATCGACTCTGGCAGCCCGAACCTTGTGAAGATGTTCTTTCTTGTAAACTTCCGCACTTGCACTTCAGTGATGGATGCCAAGGGTTCCGCCTCAATCCACTTGGTAAAATAGTCAATAGCCACAATCAAGTACTTAAATTGTCCAGGCGCCTTGGGGAAGGGTCCCAGAAGATCCATCCCCATTGTGCGAACGGCCAGGCACCCACGTTTCCCTGCATGGGTGCAGCCGGCACATGTATGTCGTTGGCATGGATTTGACATTGGTGGCATTCGGCCACATGCTTCCCAGCGTCAGCCCTCATTGTGGGCCAATAATAACCCTGCCTTAGCAGCACTTTCTCTAGGCTCCGGGCGCCTGCGTGCATTCCGCACGTTCCTTGATGCACTTCCGCGATAGCCTTTTTCCCTTCGGCCTCCGTGAGACAACGCAGATAGGCGCCCGAGTGGGATCTTTTGTATAGCACTCCCTCCATGAGAACACATCGTGCCGCTTTCCTTCTTAAACGCCAAGCCTCTTTGGGGTCTTCTGGGACCACGCCCTGCGTTAGGAAAAGCATGATAGGCGCCATCCATCCTTCCATGGTTCCCACAAGAATAGATGCCATCACCCCCTCATCACGCGGGGCTTCCTTGGTAACGATCACCTTCCTATCTTCTCCAAAATCCAACGCCGTGGCCAACTTAGATAGGGCATCCGCATGGGCATTCTCCTCTCTTGGAACATGTGTGAACGTAGCCTCCCTAAACCATGCACACTTCTCCTTGACTGAGTGAACGTATGCTCCCAGCGCCTCCTCTTTTACCTCATACACATTGTTCAGCTGATTGACCACGAGCGCCGAGTCAGTCTGGACATTAACCTTCTGGGCGCCCAACTCCCTTGCCATGTGGAGCCCCGCCAGGACCGCTTCATATTCCACCGCATTGTTCGTTTTAAGAGTTGCGAAACATAGTGCGACCTCATGCATAGCGCCCTGGGGACTGATTAGCACAATACCTGCTCCCGCACCAGCTCGGCTTGCCGCTCCATCCACCTGAACTTGCCAACATTCTTCCCCGCCATTCCCCGCGTCGACCACTCCTTCCGCCACAAAATCAGCCAACACTTGCGCCTTAATGGCTGGTCGGGGCGCATAACTCACATCGAACTCGCTCAACTGAACAGCCCATTTGACCAGGCGCCCAGAAACATCCATGGACCCAAGGACTGTTCGGAGAGGCAAGTTCGTGAGTACCACGATGCTGTGAGCTTGGAAGTAAGGCCGGAGTTTGTTAGCCGCCATTACTACCGCCAACGCCGCTTTCTCAATGGGCGCATATCTCGTCTCGTGCACCACCATGGTACGACTCACGTAGTACACCGGTCTTTTCTCATTCGTTGACGGATCTTTGGACACCAACACAGCGCTCACCGCAATATGGGAGACTGCAATGTACAAGTATAGTGTCTCCTTGATCTTAGGCGCGGTCATCACAGTGGGCGCGGTCAGCAACTTATTTAAATCTCCGAATGCCTCATCGCACTCCTCCGTCCACTTAAACTTGCTTGCCTTCTTTAAAGTTCTGAAAAAAGGGGCGCCTCGATCTGAGGCTCTTGGAATGAAGCGCCCCAGCGCCGCCAATCTTCCCGTCAACCCTTGCACCTCCTTTGGAGTTCGGGGAGGCGTCAACCTCATGATTGCCTCCACTTGCTTTGGGTTGGCCTCAATTCCTCTCTTTGTGATCATGAATCCCAAGAATTTGCCAGCCTCTGCTAAGAACACGCACTTCTTCGGGTTAAGCCGCAGCTTATACAGGCGCATAGTCTCGAACGTCTCCCTCAAATCTGAGATGTGGTCTTGGCGCCTCTTGCTTTTCACGATCAAATCGTCGACATATGCCTCGACGTTCCTTCCCAACTGTTCACGAAAGATTTGATTTACCATGCACTGATATGTGGCGCCTGCATTCTTCAATCCAAATGCCATCACCTTGTAACAGAAGTTGCCAAAAGGGGGTCATAAAGGCGGTCTTTGCTCTATCTTCCTCCACCATAGGAATTTGATGATACCCTGAAAACATGTCAAGGAAGCTAAGCGCCTCATGGTAGGCCGTGGCGTCCACAAGCAGATCAATGCGGGGCATTGGGTAAGCGTCCGTTGGGCACGCACGATTAAGGTTGGTAAAGTCCACGCACATTCTCCAATCCCCCGACGGCTTTGGGACAAACACAATGTTCGACAGCCAAGTGATATACCTGGCCTCCTCAACAAATCCTGCCTCGAGCAACTTATCGACCTCCTTCCGCAGGGCTTCCTCCTTCTCTTGAGTCAAATTTCTTCGCTTCTGTTGGACATGCCTCTTACCCTCTTCGACGGCCAATCGATGCGCCGCCACGTCTGGAGACACTCCCGGCATGTCCTGGGGGCTCCACGCAAAAAGTTCCCCGAATTCTCTTAATAAATTGATCAAGGGCGCCCTCATGTGCTCCGGCGCCTGTGCTGACACTCGTACCTGTGGATCTGGGCGCCCTTCTTCGATCGACACACTGAACTCATCATCCATGGGCTCTGCTCTAGGCGCTTCCTCCGGGCGAATGTCTATATTGTTCACCCTGTGCCTCCGGGCGCCTTTCCTTCTCCCTTCTTCTTCCCGTGCGTAGCGGGGGGCGCTTTCTCCTCTTGAGATTCCTATGCCTTGTGGGGCCACAAACTTCAAAATTTGGTGGCAAGTTGAGGCCACCCCATTGAACAACGCCAAAAGGGGCCTTCCTAGTATGACATTGTACGGCGAAGGGCAATCAACTATCCCAAACTCCACTGCATGTGTCACTCGATGCGCCCCGTCACCCAACGTAACCGGGAGGCGCACACGCCCTATCACATGGGCAGGCGCCCCCAAGAACCCTATCAGCACTGAATCAGAGGGGCTCACCAACTCCGGCGCCAATTGCATGCGCTCAAATGTGCTTTTAAACAAGACATTCATCGAGCTGCCCGTATCTACCAACATCCTTTTAACCTTGCACCCTGCAATGATTCCTTGTATCTCCAAAGCCTCATCCGAAGGTACTTGACAGGCATCATCCGCCTCCTGATTAAAGCATATTTGGACCGCCGCCTTTTCTTCTACGGACGCGGCCCGGAGGCGCCTAGAACGATCCAACTTATCTCGCAAGTCGATGGTACCAGTTATGGATTCCACCGTGAGTCTAACCCGGCTGGGTTCCCCTTCTTGGTTCACCTCAAACGGAGGTGGGGGTATCTCAAGCGGGGGTGGGTGGATCTCAGGCGCCTGTTGCACCATGGGGAGGATGGGCGCCCTCTGTGTAGTGTGAACAACAGGCACCAGCCTCGTTTCCCTTGTGACATAAGCACGGTGAGTCCGCTCATCTGTTTTTCTTACAAAGTCGTTGAGCATACCTCGATCGGCTAGAGTCTGCAGTTCCGATTTTAGTTGGTAGCAATCGGCCGTATGGTGCCCTTTATCCCAATGGAAGTCGCAGTATCGATCAAGATTTCGCTCATTTGGTTGCCCACGCATGGGTCCCGGCCAACGCACATGGTACCCTTTATCCTTCACGTACTGCAGAATGTTCTTCAAGGAATCGTTGTACTCCGTAAAATTTCCCGCACTCCTGGAAAAGGGGCGCTGACTCTCTATTCTCCTCTGCGGAGCGTTGTTCACAATGAATGGTCTGGGAGCCTGGCGCACTTCGATCTCTTCCCTAC